ATAGGCAGGAATTAATCCGAAAGATTTGAACTAGAAACAGAAACACACACCAAGGCTCCTCCTTGACTCAGATGTAAACATGTGTATTTCACACCCAGTGGTGCATACCATGACTGGTTGTACCCTTGGGATGTTCAGGAGACTCGCGCTTGGAAGGGACCATCATTTCTGCTGCATCTGCACCACGAGGCACTCGAGCCTCTGGTTGCAGAGAGCTCCACCACTCCCTCAGTGCGCATGGGCAGCTCATTCAGGTGTCTAAGACTCCATTATCGAAGGTCTTACCTTCTAGAGATCCAAAATCTGCAATTATTGCACTCCTGGCTGTGTTCCCAGCTCTGCTTCCAAAAGGCACAGGAAATAGGTCCAGTGTTCTTCTTGGGTTCCCGCTTTCTTCCCAGAGGTGTTTCCTCTCAGGTCTTCACTCTGAACAATTTTTCGCAGATTATGCTTTCTACTCCCATTTCCTATAAATTGGCAGCTTTCCTGGGTCTCTTAAGTTTGCTGATATCTTATTTTTAAACATGTCTCTTTGAACTAAGCATGTTGTGCTTCAGATGATGAGAACATGTTGACAGAGCAGATATATCACCTTCCTTTCTGTGGCTAGAACATTTCTTTGGCCTAACATATATTTTACTTCTGTTGAGCTCAGCAGAGCCATGAAACCTCTATAGCTACACTCTTTTCTGTATGTTTTTGTTTTATTTTCACTTCTTAAACTGGAATTCAATTACATGGTACAAAATTTTAAATGTATAAAAGAGTATTTGATAGTGTCCTCCCCACTTCTGCGCCCCAGGCACATAGCTGTCTATTCTAGAGCTACTCAGTGTTACTAGTTCCTGCACGTCTTCACAGATTTTTTTTTCTTTTTTTTTAAAGATTTTATTTATTTGACAGAGACATAGCAAGAGAGGGAACACAAGCAAGGGGAGCGGGAGAGAAGCAAGCTTCCCACCAAGCAGGGAGCCCGATGTGGGGCTCGATCCCAGGACCCTGGGACTATGACCTGAGACAAAGGCAGACGCTAAACGACTGAGCCACTCAGGCACCCCTTCACAGAGATTTTTAAAACAGCTTTATTGAAGTATAATTTGTATACCATAGAATTCATACTTTTTTTTTTTTTTTAAGAGGGCAGGGGGTAGGTTCAGAGGGAGATGGAGAGAATCTTTTTTTTTTTTTTTAAAGACTTTATTTATTTATTTGAGACAGAGAGAATGAGAGAGAACACATGAGAGAGAGAAGGGTCAGAGGGAGAAGCAGACTCCCTGCCGAGCAGGGAGCCCGATGCGGGACTCGATCCCGGGACTCCAGGATCATGACCTGAGCCGAAGGCAGTCGCTTAACCAACTGAGCCACCCAGGCGCCCGAGAGAGAGAATCTTAAGCAGACTCCACGCCCAGCGCAGAGCCTGACATGGGGATCGATCCCAGGACTCTGAGAATTGACCTGAGCCAAAATCAAGAGTCAGACGTTTGACTGAGCCACCCAGGCACCCCTTAAGCCCATTTTTTAAATTACCTACGTGGAATATCTCAGTATTTATTCAGATTTTTAATTTCTCCCACCAGTGTTTTGTAGTTTTCAGTGTGCAAGCCTTGCACTTCTGTTGTTAAATTTATTCCTAATTATTTCATTCTTTTTGATGCTGCTATGAATAGAATTGTTGCCTTAATTTTATTTTCAGATTGTTTACTGCTAGAATATAGAAATACAATTGATTTTTGGGGGGGCACCTGGGTGGCTCAGTCGGTTAAGCGTCTGACTCTTGCTTTCGGCTCAGGTCATGATCTCAGGGTCCTGGGTCAGTCAGGCTCCATGCTCAGCAGGGAGTCTGTTTCTCCCTCTCCCCCTACCTCCTGCTCTTGCACGCACTCTCTCCTCTCTCTCGCTCGCAAATAAATAAAATCTTAAAAAAATAATACAATTGATATTTTTTCATCTTCTTGATTTTGTATCTGCAATCTGGCTAAATTTACTAGTTCTAATACTTCTTTATGGATTCCTTAGTATAGTCTATGGACAGGATCATGTCATTTGCAAATAAAAACAGTTGTACTTCTTCCTTTCCAATCTGGGTTCTTTTCTTGCACAGGTATTTTATCCATAAAAAAGCAAATACCTGCATATGTTTTCTTTTTCTCACAAACCTGGCAGCTTTGCTTTTTTTTTTTTTTTTTTTTTTTTAAAGACTATTTATTTGACAGAGACAGTGAGAGAGGGAACACAAGCAGGGGGAGCGGGAGAGGGAGAAGCAGGCCTCCCGCCGAGCAGGGAGCCCGATGCGGGGCCCGATCCCAGGACCCTGAGATCACGACCCGAGCCGAAGGCAGTCGCTTAACCAACTGAGCCACCCAGGCGCCCCAGCTTTGCTTTTTATACTTAACAATCTAGCCTGAAAGTTAGTCCCTTTCAGTACCTAACATGCTTTCTCCTCTTAGAGCTGCAGAGAAGGTATAAGGATATTGCCAGTCAGGCCTATCTTCCTCACCACCCTTTCTATCCTCATACATTTTGGGTTTTTTAACATCACAGTAGTCTCTTCGTTTTATGTTAGTTTTTTGCAGTTTATAACCTAAATCATTTGTTCTAACACTTCTGTACTTTCAGAAATGCAAGTGCTCCCTTATTGAGCTGGGGAAACTGACACAGAGAGTGCTCTCAAGTAGAGACAGCTAGTAAGGGGAGGATGTCTTCAGACTCCAGACACAGAGCTTTTTCTATTGTATCAAAGTTGTTGCCATTCCTCCTGCCCAATGTGTAGGGCTTTACAATTACCCCGAGTTTGATTTGGCATCATTCCTGTTTATTATTTTGGATCTTGACAGTCATTTAGGCCCTCCCAGATATGCATCATACAAGAAATCACCTGCTCCCCCTATCTCCAAGACATATATATAAAATGTTAAGAAGGAATAGCCAGAGCTAACCAAGTAACTGGACGCGATAGGTACTTAGTAAATACTTGCTGTTGAATCAAGGAAAACATTCATTAAAAGCCTCTCTGTGTTAATAATAACCTTTGGGGCCTGGGTGGCTCAATCGGTTAAGCGTCTGCCTTCGGCTCAGGTCATGATCCCAGCGTCCTGGGATCGAGCCCCACATCGGGCTCCCTGCTCGCGGGGAGCCTGCTTCTCCCTCTCTTTCTGCTGCTCCCCCTGCTTGTGCTCTGTCCCTCTCTCTCAAATAAATAATAAAATCTTAAAAAAAAAGTTCAACCAGTTCTGGTTCTACCAACTTATTTTATCATTTAACCCACATAACTCCATCTTGCCCTCAAAGATGTCACAACAAGTTTTGTCATTTTATTGAAATCTACTTGTACTCGACTCCACATTCTTTTGGCTTACCAGTTAGTGACCATATCTACTAGAAAAAAAAAACAGGCTAACCTGGCAGGGCTCATTCTGCCTGCTTTCCTGAGCACTAGCTGAAATGTGCTCATCTTTTCTTTGACCTCCAAATGCTTGCAAATTATTAGATTGGTGATCCATTCTAGAATTTTACATGTCATCATTGTTAAATCCACCAGTTTGCAATGCTTATCTTTTTGAAAATTAAAACATTTCTTTTCTTTTTTTTTTAAGATTTTATTTATTTGACAGAGAGAGACACAGTGAGAGAGGGAACACAAGCAGGGGGAGTGGGAGAGGGAGAAGCAGATTTCCCATGGAGCAGGGAGCCCGATGCAGGGCTTGATCCCAGGACCCTGGGATCATGACCCAAGCTGAAGGCAGATGCTTAATGACTGAGCCACCCAGGCGCCCCATGAAAATTAAAACATTTCTTGTCCCCAGATATCTAACATCGCTCCTCTGTTTCAAGTTTCTAAAAGAAACTGTTTCAATTTCCTAAGGGCCCCGGAATATAGTTTATTAGTTCAGGGAGCAGACATTCTCAGTTTCCTTTCCTAACCTGGCCTTCAGTTCACCTTTACCAAACTTGCTTAAGTAGACAAGTACCTGGCATTTATGAAAAATATAAATGCCCAGGCCCCTCCCCTGGAGACGCTACCTCATTGTTCTGGGTTAGGACCCATTCCCCCAGGAGACTGTTGTGATGAACAAGTTTAAGAAACACTGTTTTAGGGGCGCCTGGGTGGCTCAGTCGTTAAGCGTCTGCCTTCGGCTCAGGTCATGATCCCAGGGTCCTGGGATCGAGCCCCACATCGGGCTCCCTGCTCAGCGGGAAGCCTGCTTCTCCCTCTCCCACTCCCCCTGCTTGTGTTCCCTCTCTCGCTGTGTCTCTCTCTGTCAAATAAATAAAATCTTTAAAAAAAAAAAAAAAAGAAACACTGTTTTATACATTTTGGTCATCTTTTTGTCATTCACTAACATTCTACCATCAACTTCAATCCATGAGGTTGCCCTTCTTTGCTCTTGTTGCTCTGAACATAATTATAAAGGCCTTTTTGGGTTCTTTAATAATTTTTGCAATACTCCAGTCATTTGGGACTTTTCATGGGGCCTTTTAGCTCTTTGTATTTACCTGTGTATAAGTATCTGAATCTGATCTTACTGGAGAGTACCCTCTGCAGCTCCCCACCCTCTTTAGTCATTCCTAGCCCTCTTTATCTCTCATCAAAATTTTAGAATTTCATTCTGAAGACCCACCAGCCTAATCTTTGGCTAACACCTTCTTCAGAGTTTTTTCAAGTGCTGTGAACATACCCAGTCTTGATGTCTTCCCTTCTTTTTCTTTTTATTTTTTTGAGTTTTCGGAGTCATTGTTTGTTTGTTTTTATTATGTTCAGTTAGCCAACATGTCTTCCCTTCTTAAAACAGCTCAGGCCCTTATCCAACCACAGCAGCTTTCCCCTCCCTGTTATAAACGGTGCGGGAGCATGTTCCCATTGTCACAAGCTTTCTGGCAACTTGATCTCAACAACTGGAATCAAATGAGAAAGGGCTTTTGGTGGCTTGTATGTTTTCTTATCCTGTAGATGACTGTGCCATTGACTGCAGGTAATAACAGGGTCTCTTTTGGTTTTCCAGGTGGCAAACCATGTGATTTCTTCTGATTCTGTTTCATCTTCTACCAGTAGTTTCTGTAGCTCAAGCTCTACCCTTGGCAACAAGCAAAATGTACAAATGTTAAACAAGAGCATACAAGCAGGTAAGTTACCTGAATTTAAACATTTCCATTGAAATACAAGTAGATCTTTAACATATGTTAAGATACTCAACCTCACAATAAAATGAAGATTAAAACTATACTCAAATGCCATTTTTCACCTGTCAGACTGGCAGAAATCTAGGTCTGGTAATAAGTTTGTGGGCACAAGTGTAAAGAAGTAGGTGCTGTCATACATTCAGGTTGGAAATACAATCCCTAAGACAAGCAATTTGGCAGTTTCAATCAAAATTACTTTGACCTGGCACTTTTACTTTTGGAATTTAGCCTATAGATATGTTGTGCATATGTGCAAAATGACAAGTGTACAGAATTCATCATTGAGGTAGTGTTTATTATAGCCAAAATTAATTTTAATTTTATTATGTTATGTTAGTCACCATACAGTACATCATTAGTTTTTGATGTGTTCCATGATTCATTGTTTGCGTATAACACCCAGTGCTCCATGCAATACATGCCCTCCTTAATACCCGACACCGGGCTACCCCATCCCCCCCCACAAAACGTTCAGTTTGTTTCTAGGAGTCCATAGTCTCTCATGGTTCGTCTTCCCCTCCAGTTTCCCTCCTTTCATTTTTACCTTCCGTCTCCTAATGTCCTCCGTGCTATTCCTTATGTTCCACAAATAAGTGAAACCATATGATAATTGACTTTCTCTGCTTGACTTATATCACTTAGCATAATCTCCTCCAGCCACATCCATGTTGATGTAAAAGTTGGATATTCATCCTTTCTAATGGCTGAGTAATATTCCATTGTACTATAACTAAAATTTAAATCAACTTAGATACCCATCAATAGCCAAATGCTTAAATAAATTATTGTACATCCATATAATGAAACATAGGGTAAGGAAATATGACAAGATCTCCAACATTGATAATTAAAAAGAAAAAGCAAAATACTTTAAAAATAAAGGAAGATAGTTGCTTGAATGTGTGCAAAAAATTCTGGGGTTACAAACTGAATGGAGAACAGGAGTGTGAAGGAGGCTTTTCACTTACATTTTTCTCTATCTTTTGATTTTATTTTATTTATTTTTTTTTTTTTTAAAGATTTTATTTATTTATTTGAGAGAGAGAGAATGAGAGAGAGCACATGAGAGGGGGGAGGGCCAGAGGGAGAAGCAGGCTCCCTGCCGAGCAGGGAGCCCGATGCGGAACTCGATCCCGGGACTCCAGGATCATGACCTGAGCCGAAGGCAGTCGCTTAACCAACTGAGCCACCCAGGCGCCCCTCTTTTGATTTTATATAACAAAAATAAATGCCGCCCTTGATTTTTCCCCCCTCAAGTCTTGTCTTTGTATCTGTCAACCTCTTCCTTACCTGGTTGACTGACAGGACTATAAGCATTAACTATCTTTCTCATTTGGGATCAGAACTGAAATCCTGGGGCCCCTGGGTGAGTCAGTCAGTTAAGCATCTGCCCTCAGCTCAGGTCATGATCCCAGGGTCCTGGGGTCGAGTCCGCAGGGAGCCTGCTTCTCCATCTCCCACTCCCCGTACTTATTCTCTCTCTCTCTGTCAAATAAATAAATAAAATCTTAAAAAAAAAAAAAAACTGAAATCTTTTACCCATTGAATCCATGTTAGTTGTTTTTTTCCCTTTAATATCTAAATTGACTTAGAAATAAAAACCTTCTTTCTTTCTTCTTCCCTCCCTCTCTCTCTCTCCCTCACCGCCTTTGTCTCTCTCTCTCACACCCCTCCACACCACACAGAGGAGGCAGTAGCCTGCATTTTCAAAGGCTTACAGTTTTCATTTACTGAACTGAATACACATGTTAACTAAGTCTCAAGGCTACTCCCAGGATATCTGTGGATCTTTTTCCTCAGGTAACTTGGAGATTGTGAACGGTGTCAGAAAACACACTCGAGATGTTGGGATGACTTTCCCAACTCCAAGTTCTAGCGAGGCTAGAATAGAAGAGGACAGTGATGTGACTTCTTGGTCAGAAGAAAAGATAGAAGAGAAAAGACTTCTCGCCAGCTATCTTGGGGATAAAAAGTTAAGGAAGAACAGGCACAGTTGCTGTGAAGGTCAGTTTCTAATTCCAGTTTTATAGCCAAAGAACTAATGAATTTCAAGTCTGTTGCAATGCTAAGATTCTTTATTTCTAAATAACTCTGTGTTGACCCCATTTCCCCGAGCACTACCTTGGCACATTTTCAAAGTATCTAGCACTGTAATTACAGTCATGCCTGCAGTTTAGCAAACTCCGGGGCATCCTGGTGGCCTCTGACAGCTGAGTCCCCTGAGAGCCTATATTACACAAGTCTTTGATGAGAAGAATGAAAAATCTTTTTTCTTTATTAAAAATATTTCCCATAGGGGTTTCATGGTTTGTTCCCGTGGAAAATGTAAAGTCTGGTCCTAAGGAAAACCTGCCCAAGCATCCTGGCCCTGGTATCTGCTGGTTTGCACCAATAACCAACACCAAACCGTGGAGGGAACCGCTGCGGGAACAGAACCGGCAGGGACAGCACGAGGACAACCGCGGGTCACTAGCAAGCCCAGGGAGAGGCCCACTGAAGCCGTTTGTGAGAGCAACCCTACAGGTGCGGTGACACTGAGTTAATTTTAGCTGTGTGTTGAAGAGGGTCAAGAGGGGAAATACAAAGAAGTTAAGACTGTTGGGCGCCTGGGTGGCTCAGTCGGTTGGGCGACTGCCTTCGGCTCAGGTCATGATCCTGGAGTCCCGGGATCGAGTCCCGCATCGGGCTCCCTGCTCGGCGGGGAGCCTGCTTCTCCCTCTGACCCTCCCCCCTCTCACGTGCTCTCTCTCTCTCAAATAAATAAATAAAATCTTTAAAAAAAAAGAAGAAGAAGAAGAAGTTAAGACTGTTACTTGGCCTTCCAAAGAACAGTCCTGTCACCCTCATTTCTAGCCCTTCCGCAGTTCGTCTGTTCCCACTCATCGTTACTCAGAGGCTGCCTCACTGTTAACCCTTGTAAGTCGGGCATTGCCCTCTGTACCTGGGACAAGGCAAGAGAAGGGCGGGTGTTGTGATGCTGCTCGCTGGGGTCGTGGATACCTGCACGTGGAGTGCTCCGGAGGTCTGGTGCTTGTGTCCGCCGTTGTGTGTTCCTCCATTTACATAGCTCCTGTTCTTGCATAGCACAAAGTCCCTTCTCTATATGTGCCTTGGGAGCTGAAAGAAGTGTCATTTAATAATGTATTTGTTTGAAGGGAAATTTAAAACAGCACAATAGGCTGAGCTCTCGCCCATCGATATTTGGGCGAGTTGTAATTGCCACAGTCTTAGTTCTTGGCTTACTCCAGAGGCATTCTTTGATCCCTCTGATTTTCCTCCTGGAGCTCTCCCCCACAGAGAGTTGTTAGATTATTCTTCAACTCTAGATATTTTCTGCACTTTAGAAACAGGCTCTTCAAACCACTGTGGGGCTGATGCTATTTTCTAAGCCCTTGGAGAACAGGCTGCATCATTAACGTGAGGTCGGGGGGCCTTTTTTCCCCTTCAGGAATCCCTTCAGTTTCACAGACCTGACTTCATCTCCCGCTCTGGGGAGCGAATAAAGCGTCTGAAGCTAATAGTCCAGGAGAGGAAGCTGCAGAACATTTTGCAGAGTGAGCGGGAGGCCCTGTTCAACACTGCGGGAGAGCAGCAGGGCTCCCGGGACCCCACGCGCCCGCTCCTGAAGAGAGGTACTCTCTGCCTCTTCACTTGCCTCTCACGGCTGCAGAGGGCAAGGGCTGCTTCCCAGCCGGGGGGGCACTGCTCAGCGCCATCCCAGTCACAGGGACAGAAAGGGCCTGCTTGCTTGCTGAGACTCCACTCTCCCTGGGCAGCAGACCTGCCCCTTGTGGCTCTCGGTGCTCTCGTGATCCACATAAGCCCAAGTTCTCCTGACCTGTCACTGCATCTTAGAAACCAGAGTGTGCGGTGAGACTGGTGTATTTATAAGGCAGCTGTGGGTCTGTGAGCAAGTTCCAGGATTGCCTGCCTCATGGGGTGGTGGTGGTTGTGGTGAGGGTGATGATGATGGTAATGGTAATGATGATAATAATAATAATAATATGTAACCCTTACATGTTTGGCCCAGGCACGGTTCTTGTTCAATGCTTATAACACCTCTCTGAGGGAGATGCTATTTAATATCCCTATTTTACAGATGAGAAAACAGAAACAACGAGAGCTTAAGTCCCTTGCCCAAGATTATACACCTGATAAGCTGGGATTTAAACCCTGATGGGCTCGCTTTAGATTCTGTGCTCCTAACAATTCTGCTAGGTGTAAGATCTCCGTAAAACAATATGTGAACGCTGTGAAAACGACCAAGTGCTACCCACTGCTTTCATCACAGCCTTACTATAAACCGGCCAGTGTTTCTGTTCACACTGGCTAGTCTGTGCCGCCGCGTGTCATGTCTTCAGCAGCCTGCTGTCACAGTCCCCATAGTCTAACCCTGGCCTTGGCCTTGGCCATTGCTCACCACCCAGTACTGTCAGCTCAAGGTAGGGACACCAAGTCCTGGCAGCTCCTTCTCACAGCTCTTGAGCAACACACCCTTCCCTGTTAAGACACTATCCACTGAAAACCCCTTCTTATGCTTAGGCTTCCTGGATGCCCGGAAGAACAGGCCTGTTGGGAAGAAGGAAATGATTCAGAGGTCTAAGCGGTAAGGACAAAAGAATAAGAGTAATTATAAAAGTATAAATAAGGCCACCAAGTGATCAGGAGCTCTGGCTTGCCCCTAGAATAAAGACGTTATGCTCAAGTTAAAATGTTATGAGAAAATTAGTTGTGAAAGAAGTTTCTTATAGCACTAAAAAAGGAAAGACAAATAGATAGCAGATTGTGGTATGGATGAGTCAGATAAAAACATACAAAGAATTCCCACTAATTTGCATGCCTTAGTCAGGCTTCTCTTTGTTAGAAACCTACATATAAATAAAGATACCTAAAATATAAGATATGAATATTTTGAAATAAAGTGTTTATTTCAGGCATTCCCCATTATCCACACAATCACATTTCTAGGAATTTATGCAATACAGTGAAAAATAATGAAATACTAAGACATATTAAGTTAAGCTTCACAAAAAGTCAAGTTTGGGGCGCCTGGGTGGCCCAATCGGTTGAGCGTCTGCTTTCGGCTCAGGTCGCTATCTCAGGGTCCTGGGATCGAGTCCCATGTCGGGCTCCCTGCTCAGTGGGGAGTCTGCTTGTCCTTCTCTGTCTGCCCGTCCACCTGCTTGTGTTCTCGCTCTCTCCAATGAATAAAATCTTAAAAAAAAAAAGAAGTCAAGTTTCAAGCAGAGTACACTGCTACCGTGTGCAGTGTTTAAAAAGTATTTGTGCCTATATAGATGCATATACTTTTATATGCATAGAATATCTCTGGAAGGGTACCCCAAAAAATGGTGATAGCGCTTACCTTTGGGAAGAAGGACTGAGTGACTAACATATAGAAGTAGGACAAAGACTAATTGTTTGCCTTTTTATACTTGCTGAATTTTATGCCATTGCATGCATTAGCAATTAATTCGCAATATGCATGTATCGATCATGGATTTAATTGACATATAACATTGTGTAAGTTTAAGATATATAATGGGATGATTTGATGTATGTATATGCAATATGTTTACCACACTAAGGTTAGTTAACATATCCTTTACCTCACATAATTACCATTTTGTTGGTGGTAGTAGTGTTGGTGGGGGTGGTGGGGGTGTTCTTACTGTTACGGTGAGAACATTAAAGGTCTAGCAGCGTTCAAGTATACAGCGCAGTACTGTTAACTAGAGTCACCATGCTGGACCTGAGATCCCCAGAACTTCTTCCTCTTATAACTGGAATTTTGTACCCTTTGACTAACATCTCCTCGTTATCCCCATCCCCCAGCCCCTGGCAACCACCGTTCTATTGTCTATTTCAGTGAGTTTGATGTTTTTAGATTCCACATGTAAGTGAGATCATACAGTTTTGCCTTTCTCTATCTGACTTATTTCACCTAGCATGATATCCTCAAAGTCCATTCACGTTGTTGCAAATGTAAAGCTTTCCTTCTTTTTTATGACTGGATAATAATATAATAATATATTATATTTTCTTTATCCATTCATCTGTTGATGGACACTTAGGTTACTTATGGTAGTTCTATTTGTAATTGTTTGAGGAACCTCCACTGTTTTCCCACAGGGGCTGAACCAATTTACATTCCCCACCAGCAGTGCACAAGGGTTCCCTTTTCTCTGCATCCTTACAGATACTTGTTATCTCTTGCTTTTTTTTTTTTTTTTAAGATTTTATTTATTTGACAGAGAGAGAGCACAAGCAGGGGAAGTGGCAGAGGCAGAAGGAGAGGGAGAAGCAGGCTCTTCTCTCTTGCTTTTTTAATAATAACCATTCTAACAGGGGCGCCTGAGTGGCTCAGTTGGTTAAGCTGCTGCCTTCGGCTCAGGTCCTGAGATCAAGCCCTGCATCAGGCTCCCTGCTCCGCGGGGAGCCTGTTTCTCCCTCTCCCACTCCCCCTGCTTGTGTTTCCTCTCTCCCTGTCTCTCTCTCTGTCAAATAAATAAATAAATAAATAAATAAATAAATAAATAAATAAATCTTTAAAAATAAATAAATAACCATTCTAACAGGTGTGAGGTGGTATCACATGTGATTTTCATGAACAGTGACTTTTAAAAATGTAGGTATGCTCTTCTTTGGTCTCGTTCCTGCCCTCCACGGTAGTGTTTTCAGTTAGTGATCGTCTCCTCCATATCCAAAACCGACCTCCCCATTCTCCACTCCCACACTTGCTTGGGCCACCCCCTCATCCAGCTATAGAGCTGGGGAGCAGTCACCTCTAGCCATGTTACCCGCCACTACACATGGGGCCAGCTAGCGCATCCTGAACACTCAGCTTCTTGATTGCTCTGGAACCTGCTCTCACCGCCTTGGTGCAGCCTGGCCCCCACCCTCAGAGGACGCTGTTCTTCCTGGTTCTGCTCTTTATTTTTTTCTCATTTATTTTCCACAGAGCCTCTACGTCATTTTCAGTGAGTTTTTTTTCAAATTATAAAAAACTTTGGGAAATATAGAGAAAATGAGAAGAAAATAAATGTCACTGATCATCCTTCCATCTAAACTGAACTGACACTAGTGCTGTTTCTGGCAGGAGTGGGGGTTTTGCAGGGACCTGTATTCACACACACTTATTTTTTCTCAAATTGTTGATCATACGATATATACAGGTTTGTAGCCTGCTTTATTTTGCTCAACATATATATTGTGACATTTTCCCATATCATTAAAAGTTCTCAAATTCTTTGAAATATCTTTTTTATGCTTTGTAATAATTCCATTTTATTCCATAATCTGTTTAACTTTTCTTTTGTGGGAAATTTAGATCATTTCCAATTAGAGTATATTTATCAAATGCATGTTTGATCATGTTCCTCCCTACTTAAAATCAGTGGCACCCAATCCTTGATAAGACAGAGCCCAAGGTTTTCACATGGCTACAAGACCCTCCACAGCCCACTTCACCTTCACCTCATCTGCTTCCCACATGATCCCCTGCATGCCTCTCTTTGAGGCCTTGACTCTTTCTTACCAATACTCCCTTCTCCTCCCATCCCCTCTCTGCTCCTGTCTTTAAGACCCACCTTTCATTTCGTGGAACTCTGTGTAGCATTTTGTACATAGGGCCATTATTGTACTTTTCTTTCTGTTATTTCCTGTGTGTTTAAAAATATACTAATTAATACATGCTGTTATTTTATATTGAAACTGTCCATTTTTGCATATAGAGTAAAAAGCTGTTACCTCCACTCATTTATCCCACTCCTTTCTCAGAAGTAACCACTATAAGCAAGATTTCTTACGTTTTTATTCATCTGTCTGCCCTCCCAGATCATGAGCACCCCAGGCCAGCATTCTTTGTGTCCAACTGTCTAACAGGAAGCAGGCCCACGACAGAGGCCCCGGGCCTGTGTTTGAGATCTAAATGCCCTGAGAGCAGCAGACCTTAGGGACATGGGGGGAGAAGAGATCATGTCCCTCTGTGTTCGGGTGACCTCACTGCTCTTTGTTTTCCTGCTGGCACCATTCCTAAGGATTTATGAGCAGCTTCCAGAAGTTCAGAGAAAGAGAGACGAGGAGAAGAGGAGACTGGAATATAAGTCATACCGGCTGCGAGCTCAGCTATTCAAGAAGGTCAGTCAGCCCTTGAGCAGGATCCATCAGGTTTATCAGGGGAAAGAGAAATTGAGAGAAACACATCTGACCTGTTTGAATTAACCATATCTGGGAAGTAAACTTAAGGTTGTAATGCATTGTACCACTGCTGAAATTTGGAAGATAAAGGCACCTTTATTTGACTAGACTTCAAATCAAAACATCTAAAAGGCGAATCTAGAAAAGGCACCTTCCAGGCATACATTTGGAACAAAACCAAATTCTGTACTTAGGAGTCATGGTGGAAATGTCCAAATCTATCAGAATTGTTGGATTTTCATTCTAGAGTCCCAAATGGTAGTGTTGTGCCCCTTATTGGTAAGTCAAATACCTCTCGAGCTTGTAAAATAAACTGGAAAGTGTCGAGTGTAGCGTAAGAGTTGGCAGCTTGGGGACTCAGAGCCTCAAAGCCACCACCATTTCCTGCCTGTAGCCCAGTGGAGTCAGTGGTGCCGCAAGACCCAGACCCTCCGACGCCAGGGAACTTGCTACCAGTATATTCCTTGAGAAGCCAGGCAGGCTACCATGCCTGAAGGTCCATATCCTTCACTGTTCTCATTTCCTTCCCAACCCCTTCACTTCACCACCAGAGGACTCTGAAAGGCAGAATCCAAAAGACGAGTTTATACCAGACCGATGTGGGATTGGAGAGCTGCTTCTGGAGCGCACCTGGAGCTGGGCTGGGCCGGGCCCTTCGAGGAGGGGGTCCCCAGGCGCCACATGGCCTGTCCAGTGGGTCAGCATCACAGGCCAGGCCTCTCGTTGTGCTCGTATGTTTGAACTGATGGATGGACGGGCCTATCCAGATCATAAGTGATCTGTATCTGTGCAGAAGTAATAGATAGTGACTATATAGATCATCTTTCCTAAACACTTCAGGAAGAATTTTTTTGCATAATTACCATAGTTTCTGCAACTGGGGAAGATAAACAAGATTTGGATAGAACCCCACTGGTCTCTTCCACGACATGTCTGGGGTGAGGATTGGCTGCCGGCCTCTGATGGCAAGAGTATCTAACTTTTTTCCTGTCTTTCTTTTCTTCCACAGAAAGTGACCAATCAGCTCTTGGGGAGAAAAGTTCCCTGGAACTGATATAAGATTATTTTCCTCACCGTCTTGGAATTATATTTTATCAACCTGAAGAAGCACAATCCTTACTTTTATGAGTCTGGTTTAATAAAACTTAATTCTTTGTCTACGTTTAATTTAGAAATAGTAAGTCAGTAGTCTGAGGCAGAGTGGTGATTAGGATTATTAATGGTTTGGGAGCAAATACTTTCTCCACAGCGGCCTTGCCCACAGGAATGTTTGTCACAATGATATCATTTCTGAAGTCTAGCCATGAGTGAGTCCCTTTCTGTATGTGTTTTTATACTTTTAGAAAATAAATAACTTCTGATTGATTCATAGTAAAGCAAGCAGCAGAGGGTCATTTCTTTACCATCTGGAGATGTTCAGGGACCTATGCAATGTCTCTCCCGAGGTGTATGGGGAGCCTCAATCTAAAAGCATCAGTCAAGGGAAATGGGCTGTGGGAATGAAATATGGCCTTTTTTTTTTTTTTTAAGATTTTATTTATTTGTCAGAGAGAGAGAGTGCGCGCGCACAAGCAGGGAGAGAGGCAAAGGGAGAGGGAGAAGCAGGCTCCCCGCTGAACAAGGAGCCTGATATGGGACTCATTCCCAGGGTCCTGGGATCATGACCTGAGCCAAAAGCAGACGTTTAATTGACTGAGCCACCCAGGCGTCCCAAAATACGGCCTTTCTTTACAAACACAGCAGGACATGACAATAGCTCTGCCTTGGGCTTTGTGGAGATGGGGTCTGGTTAGAGTTGCTGTTGGGCATGCCCAGTCACTCCCAGCAGACCAGGCACCTTGGGTTGAGAGCCTCCTCTTAGCCTCATTCCAGCTTGCCAGAGGCCTCTAGCCTTTGGTGGATTTTCCTCCGGCTACCCTCCCTTCAGGATTGAAGCCTCAGAGCATTTATCATCACACATGGAACCAACATTTATAACCCGGATAACCACTTCTGAAAAGCATGAATTAATAAACTTAATAATGTACGTAAAGCATGTAATTAATCCTGTAGCCTGGAATGACAGCTAAAGCCCAGAGTTGAGGGGGGGAAGGTGCTAATCGGCCTCATTCAAAATTCAGGGAAGCCCCAGCAAGATAGTAAGGGACCAGCTGCCTCCCCAGCAGACTTCCGCAGAGGCCAAGTTAAACAGCAGACCCTGCCTCCAAGCACAGCTCAGAGGGCGCCACCAAGGCTCCCTTCCTAACCCAGAAGGAGGCTATGAAGAAGGCTCAGACACTGACTGAGCCAGCCAGGCACCTCTGCCTGATCCCTTTGTTTTGCCAGGCCTAACACAATGTGTAGCATGTGTTTGACTCAATAAGGGTTTGTTGGATGACACACAGAGGGTCATCAGTCCAGATTGGAGGCCAGAGGCTCTGGGAAAGACTTCAGGGAGATCTAATTGGTAGGTTCCCTGAGGCACCTTAATGTCATGGGGATCTATTTAAACATCTGATCAAGTTTGGAGCTGAATAAGTGACAGCTATATGGAAAAAAAAAAAAAAACTAAACAACAACCCCAAAAAAGATAATTCCAAGGAAAAGGAAACAAAAATCTACATAAAAGAATAAGCAATCATAGTTTTACTATGTAGCTTAGCTTAAAATAAACACAGAATATTGATGTTCCCCGACCAGTGGTCTAATCTCTTTGGGAAGCTGGGGAGTGGGAAGGATGCACATGCGTGATGTAGACATGGCCTCGACTCCCAAAAAGTAGTCCACAGACAAGCTTAAAACTGAGGATTAGGAAGAAGCCACACAAGTCCCTTAAAGACATGGAAATAAATGAGACCTGAAACCATAAAAATCCTAGAAGAGAGCACAGGCAATAATTTGACGTCAGCCATAGAAGCATTTTTCTAGATAGGTCTGAGGCAAAAGAAATAAAAGCAAAAGTAAACTATTGGGACTACATCAAAATTAAAAGCTGCACAACAAAGGAAACAACAAAACACCCTACTGATGGGAGAAGGTATTTGCAAATGACATCCCATAAGGGGTTTTACAACTCAATAAAACACACACACACACACACAAATACAATTAAAAATCGGCAGAAGACATGAACAGGCATTTCTCCAAAGACATCCAGATGGCCAACAGATGACATGAAAAGATGCTCAACATCAGTCATCATCAGGAAAATGCAAATCAAAACCACAATGAGATATCACCTCACACTTGTCAGAATGGCTAAAATCAAAAACAAAGGAAACAAGTGTTTGCAAGGATGTGGAGAAAAAAGGACCCTCTTGCACTGTTGGTGGGAATGCAACCTGGTACAGCCACTCTGGAAAACAGTATGGAGGTTCCACAAAAAATTAAAAATAGAATTACCATGTGATCCAGTAATTCTACTAGTAGATATTTACCCAGAGAATATGAAAACACTTATTCGAAAAGATAAATGCACCCCTATGTTTATTGCAGCGTTATTTACAGTAGACAAGATATGGAAGCAACCCAAATGTCCCATCAATAGACGAATGGATAAAGACAAGGTGGTACATACACACACACACACACACACACACACACACACACACACACTGGAATATTACTCAGCCATAAAAAAGAATCAAATCTGGTCACTTGCAACGACACGGATGGATCTGAAGGGTATAATGCTAAGCTGAATAAGTCAGAAAAAGACAAATACCATATGATTTCACTCATATGTGGAATTTAACAAAAAAGACAAACCAAGAACCTGTCTCTTAACTATAGAGAACAAATTTAGGGTTACCAGAAGGGAGGTGGGTTGGGGGATGGGTTAAGAAGGTGATGGAGATTAAGGAGTGCACTTATGATGAGCACTGGGTAAGGTATGGAAGTGCTGAATCACTATATTATACACCTGAAACTAATAACACTGTATGCTAATTACACTGGAATTTTTTTAAAAGTGTGTTAAAGATACGGAAGTTGAGTGTGCACAGGGAAGTGTAGAGCTGCTCTCACAGCACAAATCTATAGAACTCTGACTCTTGAAAATAGTTGGGCACATACATAATCTTGAGAAAAATAAAAACAAAACTAAAGACTTAAATGTGAAGGGCAAAACAAAAAATTTAGAAGTAAATACAGGAAAGTGTCTCTAAAGAAAAAATGCCTTAAGGAACAAAGCACAAACCATAAAGAAAAAGGTTGATAAATTCAATTAATGAAATGTAAAAATTCTATATTAAAAGACACCATAGGGGCGCGTGGGTGTCTCAGTTAAGCATCCACCTCTTCATTTCAGCTCAGGTCACGATCTCAGTTTTGTTAGATTGAGCCCTGTGTCAGGCTCCACTCTGGGCTTGGAGCCTGCTTAAGATTCTCCCTCTCCCTCTGCCCTTCCCCACCCCCATAAATGAATGAATGAATGAATGAATAATTAAAAATAGTAAATAAAGATAGAAAATACAGGGCACAAAACAGAAGATAATTATAGCACATGTAACCAACAAAGGATTTGTATCCAAAATATATCATGAACTCCTATGAGTCATTTGTTTTTAAAGATAATCTATAGAAAGATGGACTAAATAAAAACATGAGCAGGCAGTTTCACAGAAGAACAAATACAACTGGCCTGTACAAATATGATAAATTGCTTTAACTTTATTATTAATTGGAAATGCACATTATTAGCAGAATACTCCATGCAGGGGCGCCTGGGTGGCTCAGTCGTTGAGCGTCTGCCTTCGGCTCGGGTCATGATCCCAGGGTTCTGGGATCGAGCCCCACATTGGGCTCCCTGCTCAGGGGGAAGCCCGCTTCTCCCTCTCCCACTCCCCCTGCTTGTGTTCCCTCTCTCACTGTCTCTCTCTGTCAAATAAATAAATAAAATCTTAAAAAAAAAAAAAAGAATACTCCATGCAGGCCTCTTGGATATGCATGCATGTCCCAAATCTGGTCCTCAGAAAACACTTGCTCATCCTCTGTCCCAGCAAACTCTGGGAGTGCAGGCCAACCCCAGGATGTTAGCCAGGCTAGTCCCCGCATTCACCCTCTGGATTTCTCTGGTGTGAGTCAGTCTTCTGAAGCTCTTTACCTACAGGGAATGCATATCAACCTGTCCAAGCGGTGAAGGCCTGCCTAGATCTGGGATCATATTCACCTACATTGCAATTCCTTTCTGAAATGGCCCTTGCTCTATGGTAAAACAAATTATCATAAATTAACCCAGTCTGGTGTGTTTTTCTGTAGAGCCTGGAAGAAAAGGCAGAGGGGAAAGAGCCTGGTCCATACCTCCTCTTCCTCCTCCTAGACTTTGGAAGTCAAAGATGGCAGCCTATGGACTCAACTCGAGTTTTGAATTCTGGGTAGTGGGGAACACCTGGCTGCCTCAGTTGGTAAATCATTTGACTCTTGATCTCGGGGTTGTGAGTTCAAGCTGCACACTGGGGGTAGAGATTACTAAATAAATACATAAACTTAGAATTCTGCGTAGTGTCCACAGTTGGGCTGCCAGATTTAGCAAATTAAAATCAGGACTCCTAGGAAATTTAATTTTAAATGAACAAATGATTGTTCATTTAAGTCCTGTGCTATATTTGAAACACTAAAAAATTACCCACTGTTCTTGTGAAATTCAAATTTACTGGGGTGTGTCCATTTTTTTATCTGGCAACTGGAGCCCACAGGGATTAGGGGCAGCCTAAGCTGATGCCGGGAAAATGGGAAAGGGGAGAGAAGAGACCAAGAGAGTCCCCACTTATATCAGGAAGTCTCATCAGGGAAACCCAAGGGTGCTAAATGCCCAGGAAGAAATTTGAATCTGTCTCAAGTCATCCAGAGAGATTTTGGAAAGCTAGCCTTGAAGAGGATAGATCTACTGACGGGCACCAACTTGATAGAGAAGTGGCGGGCAGGACAAGGCCAGCCTTCCATATGGGGTGACCCCATCAGCACAACAAAGCAAAAGTCACTATTATAAAAACAGTTTTTAATTAAATTCAGGATGCAAAGAAATTAGATAAAAATCCAAAAAGATAAAAGTTTAAAAACAGTAATTGAGCAGTAAGGGGAAAAAGAATTAAACACAAAAGGACAACAATCATGTGGTCCATTTATATGAGGTACCTGGAATAGGCGAATCATAGAGACAGAAAGTAGCATAGTGGTTACCATGGGCTGGAGGAGGGAGGACAAAGAGCTGGTGTTTGGTGGGTCCAGAATCTGTCTGGAATAGTGAAAGTAGATGGTGGCGATTCTTACACGGCAAAGTGAATGTACCTGATGCTACTGAATCATACAATTAAAAATGGTTAAAATTGCCAAATTCTATGTTAGGTATATTTTTCACAATAAAAGATAAATGAAATATAATGAAAGGAATTACAACATATAAGAAATAAAAATCACAAACATCAAGATATTTGTAAAAGATGTAGCTTGGAATTGAAAAGCCTAAATTAAAACATTTAAAATGTCAACAGAAGAGAAATTTTAAAGGCATGATTTTTTTTAAAAAATGAAATAATTTTTATTTATTTTTTTAATATTTATTTGACAGAGAGAGACACAGCGAGAGGAAGGAACACAAGCAGGGGGAGTGGGAGAGGGAGAAGCAGGCTTCCCGCCGAGCAGGGAGCCCGATGCGGGGCTCGATCCCAGGACCCTGGGACCATGACCTGAGCCGAAGGCAGACGCTTAACGACTGAGCCACCCAGGCGCCCCTTAAAAAAATGAAATAATTTTTAAAATATGTGATGAAGCCAGGAGTTTATAAATTAAGGTAGTATACATATAACAAACATTTTAGAAGGGGGAAAATAAAAATGGTCAGGAAGCCTAAGAGTAGATCAATTAAGCTAAAACAATTCAATAGACAAACTACATACTGTCAACAGTAAGGACAAAATACACTTTAAATCATTTGAAAGGAAAACAAGGTAGCAGTTTGAAAGTATGCGATGAGAAAGAAAATGAAGGGCATGCTGTACAGGCGAGCAGCTGGAGAGACACGGTGACCTCCCAGATGGGAATCTGTGTGGTGGGCAGCACCCAGCCCCCAGCAGCTTTGTCCTGTTCACCGTCCTCCCCTCACCAGGCAGGTGTGGGCCGCAGTTCAGCTTCCCATGCCCACTCTGGAGTCCCTCATATCCAACTGGAGCTCAAGTTCAAAGATTCCCCAGGTTATCCAACATCATCAAGGATCCAGGCTTCTCATGCCTTCAGTGGTTGGGGGAAAGGGCCCCTCCCCCATGTCGCACCCAACAGAGGACAGACGCCCCTCCTCTACCCCTCCCACCTCTCAGAATGCCCCATGGAGAGAGCTCTGCTGGCACCCACTGTCCTGCCTAACCTTGCTCCCCTGACCCCTCCCAGGCTTCTGGTAGGATCTGGGCTGTCCCAGTTTCCCCTTAGGGTGCTCTGCCCTCCTGTTCCCTAGACCCACATGCCATGAGGGTGCTCACTTTTTCCCTCGGGCACTTCTCTACCTCATTGGGCATCTGCATCAAACAGCTGGCGCCCCTCCCCTCTGGTTCACACCCCAGGGAGTGAAAATGCCCCCAGAGGGGAGACGTTGGCTGGAGAGAGGAACCTTTAGGTCCTGCTCTCCCCTATGAGCTTTCTCTAGCCGTAGCTCTAGGTGACTTGGCCCGCAGGGGCAGTGCCCCTGTTTAATTTCCTCTAATTAGTGCTCAAAGTAGATGCTGTCTTCCCCAGTCAGCCTCTAGCTTTATTTTTTTTATTACGATTTTATTTATTTATTTGACAGAGCCGGAGAGCACAGGCAGGGGGTGTGGCAGAGGGAGCAGGAGAAGCAGGCTTCCCAATGAGCAGGGAGCCCGATGCGGGGCTCGATCCCAGGACTCTGGGATCATGACCTGAGCCGAAGGCAGGTGCTTAACTGACTGAGCCACTCAGGTGCCCCAGCCACTAGCTTTAAAACCCTGGTCTGCCACCTGGTCACAGGTCCATATTTCCTGCATAGTTGTTCCTAAAATAAACTTCGTATAATAAGACTCATATTTAGCAAAATCTAAACTAGGTTATCCTCAGGATATAGAGCTGAGCATTTTCACACTGATTTTGTTCAGAAGGTAACCACCTGGTTTATGATACATGGAAAATTTATTCATTAACCTTCCTAATAATGTCTCCCCATTAAAAATTCACTATGTTCCCACTGTATCTTAAATGTTTTGTTGTTGTTGTTGTTTTCTGAATGGTTTAAAAAAATATATTAACTCTGGCCAAAAGGTGGAAACAACCATAATGTCCATCAAGAGATAAATGGATGAACAAAATGTGTGTACGTGTAATATACCATATTACTCAGCCTTCAAAAGGTAATGAAATTCTGATATATTCTACGATATGGATAAACCTTAAAAAAACATTGTTAAGTGAAATAAAGCCACACACAGAGGACAAATACTGTATGACTCCACTTAAACGAGGTACCTAGAGTAGGCAAATTCCTAAAAAGGTGGAATAGTGGCTGCCGGGGGCTGGGAGGAGGGGGTGAAGAGGGATTATTGCTTCGCGGGTACAGAGTTTCTCTTTGGGGTATTGAAAAAATTCAGGAAATAGTGATGATAGTTGCACAACATTTTGAATGTAGTTAATGCTACTGAACTACACATTTAAAATTTGTTAAAATGGTCAATTTTATGTGATGTATATGTTGTCACAATATTACAAATGTGAGGAGGAGGAAGAAGAGGCACGGCAGAGCGAGGGAGCACAGACCTTCCTGCAGGTACTCACACGGGCACACACGTGTGCCAGACAGAAGAGGCATATGCCCGGCGGGCAAAACCAAAAACAAACTTACCCTAGTTTAACCAGTACACTGTTACATAAAAGGAAACTGGATGTTCTTAAAGTTTTACCAAGTTCAGAATAAAACCTCATCTTTGAAATTGAACAAATTACTTATTAGCTGAAGAAAGGTAAAAGGAAGTTTGGAGTCAGCATTCTATGGTTTTTTACAGCTGGGCCCAAGTCACTGACCTCTAAAATCATCTTGGACCACACCCTCCCTCCTTCCTACTTGCTGGAAAACTATCAGTCCCCTACACTTGCCCAAAGGGGTCCTTGCACAAGTCACAGAGCTGCACTTTGCCATTCCCTGCAAGCCATTCCCAGAGGCTCATGGGAAGCCATCCACCAGTCAGTGGGGTGGGTGCCCTTTTGATGTTCTTTGTCCAGTACCCCCTGCCTTGCCTCTGTCTGCATTCCCCTAAGCCCAGGTCAGGAAAAGCACTTTCTCCTCCAATTCCACCCCCTTCTCTCACACACACACACACACAAAGCCAACAACATCCTACCTCTGCCAGAGTTCCGGGCCCACGGGCACTGACTATGACTCAGATTCCCAGGAAAGCGTCAGCCATCAGCTCTTGCTCCACAGAAGTGTACGTAGGTGTCCTCAAGACTTCTCTATCAGTGGCCTTGGGGTTGCAGGTGGCACCTTGCCCATCCTTTGCTTGGCTGGGGCAGACTCATGGCCAGCTGTAATTCCCATAACAATTTCTCAACATCTCTGCTGTCTCCAACCTTTTGTATCCTCCCTTTGGGTTTTAGAGCCATCTGAGCTCTTCCTTTTTTAATCTCTAAAAACTTTTTACAGGTGAATGTCATATAACATAAAGTTAACAGTTTTAAAGTGTACCCTTCGGTGGCATTTAGTACATTCACAATGTTGTGAAACCACCACCTATATCGAGACTTGAAACATTTCCATTGCCCCAAAAGAAAACCTGCAGCCATCACTCTCCATTTCCCCTCCCCCGCAACACCCCTGGAAACCCCCTAAATTGTCTTGGTCACCTCCTTTGGAATTTCCACATTTCGGTCTCAGATCTTATTTCTTATCTCTCATACCTGGTGCCTGGCCTGAAGCTCCGGTTTAACTTCCCATTATCCTTAGCCCACTATCTTGACCTAAATACCCTCCCTCCAATTCACCAACACAAACACGTTCACTCGTCCGGCCTTGGGCCCCTTTCCTGAACTCTGCAGGGAAGCACTGCTTCAAACTCCACTGATCAAGAGTGTGGATTATGGTCTGGAGAATATGAGCAAAGGAGTAGCATCCAGGACAGGCCTGGCCTCTGTCCCTGGCTGTTAGAGCACCCTCTGTGGATCAGGCAATAGGGAGCAGCGGGGTTCACTGACTTCCTCTGCCTGAGGTGGGGCCAGAGGCTCATGGGAAGCCATCCACCAGTCAGTGGGGGGGGTGCCCTTTTGATGTTCTTTGTCCAGTACCCCCACCATCTCCACTCTTATGACAATATATCACCCCTTGCTGCCTCCTGATTTCTCAGCCCCTATGGCCTGTAAGCCCCTGGAGGGCATGGACCACGTCTACGTGGGATTAGCAGTACCAATTAATTGTCACTTAAGAAAACTTTCAAAGCATCGGGACCACTGTGGGCCTCCCCCATCTCTAGCACCAGCTGGTGCCCACTTGGGAATTCCTCCTGAGGGGCGGCCTGGTGGGCCGAGGACAGCTGGTGGGCACCTCCTCTTCCTCTACTGCTCAGAGAGGCTGGGCCCCTGCCATTAACTAGAAGCTGGAGCTGGGAGGTAACAGGAGCTTGATTTAAAACGAGGGGTGGAAGTTGGGGGCACAGTGTAACAGGAGATTTACATGGTCCAGTCTTCTGAGGAGCACACAGGGAAGGTGCAAAGGCTGCAGGCGTGGAAGAGGTAGAATGCCTGGCAGAAGGGACCATGGGTCATCCGAGGCTAGGGAGAAAAGAGACCCAATGGAGTGTGGCATAGTTGAGGCCCATGGTCTTGGGTAACAAAACATGAATGTTTTGTTAAACGTTTCATTTGATGAAAGTCCCCATTTAGGGGAAAAGTACCTGTAGCAATGCCAGTTGGCGGATTCGGGCCTGTTTGTGGCCTGATTGACCCTTCACGAGAGATAAGCCATGAGCAAGCATGGGAGTATGTCACAAGACCCAGACTGAAAGGGTGCCTGGACTTCCCGGGTCCAGGGGACTCACTGGATCCTGGGACTCAGCCTCTGGGTCAGGAGACCCGGTGCCAGTGATGACCTAGCTGGACAAGGTGGACAGTGGGGCACACACCACTTTGCCTCTGTATCAGAGGGTCAGGCCTGAGGCTTCTGTAAAAATCTGGAATCTCTGAGCACTTGGGGACAAGAGGCAGGGTCCCAGGTGTGGCAGGTCTGGGAAATTCACCAATCCCATTTCCTCTTCCCGAACACACACATTCTCAGCCTCCCTTCAGGCATATTAGGGCGATGTGACTGGGGCCTGGCCAGTGGGGTGGGGGCTGCATCACTTCTCAGTCTAGCCCGTGTTAAAATCCCACTCCGTCCCGGGCTGCCTCCTTCCCTTTCAGTGGAGATGGTGCGTTGGGGGCCAAAGCAGGCTGATGGCATTGTGGGCCCCAGTCCTTCTCCCAGGATTCTTCTCCATCTCTGTCTCAGCACCCCTTGCTGTGTGACTTCAGCTCCTCTCACTAAAGAGGCAGGGCCCATTTCTCTTCCCGAGTCCGGAATGTCAGCAGATGTGACACCTGAGAAGCTTGAAAAAGCATTTGCTTGTTTCTGCTTCACTTTCTGGTCCCCTGCAATTATCTTAAAACCATCGCTGAGTTGCGTGCTGGAAAATGAGCTGGCCCAGTAGCCCTGTCACTCCAGCCAATCCCACAATGATATGTGAAGTGGGCTGTTTGAGACCAAAAGGGCTGCCAGCCAAGTCCAGGCTAAATTGTGGATGGTGGACACGTGAACTAAAGAAATGTTTATTTGGGGACACCTGGGTGGCTCGGTTGTTAAGTGTCTGCCTTCGGCTCAGGTCATGATCCCAGGGTCCTGGGATCGAGCCCCGCATTGGGCTCCCTGCTCGGTGGGAAGCCTGCTTCTCCCTCTCCCACTCCCCCTGCTTGTATTCCTGCTCTCGACACTCTCTCTCTAATAAATAAAATCTTTAAAAAAATAAAAATAGGGGCGCCTGGGTGGCTCAGTCGTTAAGTGTCTGCCTTCGGCTCAGGTCATGATCCCAGGGTCCTGGGATCGAGCCCCGCATCGGGCTCCCTGCTCCGCGGGAAGCCTGCTTCTCCCTCTGCCACTCCCCCTGCTTGTGTTCCCTCTCTCGCTGTGTCTCTCTCTGTCAAATAAATAAATCTTTAAAAAAATAAATAAATAAAATAAAAATAAAAATAAAAATAAAAAATAAAATAAAGAAATGTTTATTTGTGTGTGTTTATTGGTTTGTTTTAACTCAGCCTTCTCGTGGCACTGGATAAATGAAACAGTGGCCACCCCAAAAGACAGAAAGGAGCAGAACCCTCCCCGCCCCCACCCCCGGGCTTCCCACAGAAGGAACAGTGAGCTCTCACTGTGCTGTCACACTGAGACTTCGGGGTTTGCTTGCTACCTCAGCAGAGCCAGCCCTCTCCTGACTAAGCCACCAGGAACTGGATCACCAGCCCCCCTTCTACTCCTGTGCCTGAGAGGCCTGAGCAGAGGGCAGGTGGTAGACAAACATAACGGAAGGAATAGCAATTAGCCTCCAGCTCAGGGAGAAGAAGAACTGGTGCGTCTTCTGGAAGCCCATGCGCTGGTAGAGGGCCAAGGCCGAATGCTGCAGCACGCTGGTGATGAGGACGACTTGGCGGTAGCCCTGGTCGCGCGCGAACTGCAGGACGGTCCTGACCAGGGCTTTCGCTATCCCCTGATGCCGCCACCCCGAGGCCACGCACAGGTGAAACAGCTGCAATTGCTCCTTGGGCAGGGGGCGCTCCTTGACGGGCAGCACGCCCACGATGCCCACCACCTGCCCCTCAGCCTCGGCCACCCAGAAGCAGGAGCCAGGCTCACTCAAGTAGGACTTGCTGATGTCGGACAGGTCTGTGCGCAAGCACATGACTTTAAACTTGCTCCAGGGGTATTTGGAGAGGAATCTCAGAGCAGTGAGGAGGGTGAAGCTGGCTAGGAGGGCCAGGAGCCAGGAGCCAGAGACCAGGAAAAGGGCGAGGGGCACCCCAAGCAAGAGCACCAGGGTTTGGGGCAGCTTCAGGACGTGGCGGAAGGTGGTGGGGACGTACTCATCCATTGCCCGGGAGAACAAGTCCAGGACCTGTGTGCAGTGGCTCTCCCGGTATTTGCGGATGTGGTAAGGAGCCATGGAGGTCTGCTGTGCCTGAACCTCAAATGCCGCGAGGGAGTGAGCCAGGTGTCCCTGCACACCCTTCCTGGCAGCCCTGGGGAAGACAAAGGAAGCCAGGTAAGTGCCCCATCTCTGCCACCTCCCAGGAGTGGGGGAGACCCTGCTCAAGGGCATTTCTGCTTTTGCCCTAGAGGATGTAGGCAACAGCCACGGGGAGGTGTAGGGTCAGAATGATTTGCGTATGATCTTGGCTCCATCCCTTTCTAGTTGTGTAACCTTGGTATGTCCACCTAACTTCTCTGAACCTGTTTCTTCATCTGTAGAACAGAGTAAAATAAAAACCTGCCTTCTGAGATTGTTTTGAGGATTTAATAAAATAACACATACAGGAGCACCTGGGTGGCTCAGTTGGTTAAGCATCTGCCTTCGACCCCAGTCATGATCTCAGGGTCCTGGGATCGAGCCCTGGGTCGGTCTCCCTGCTCAGCGGGGAGTCTGCTTCTCTCTCTCTCTCTCTGCCCCTCCCCCTGCTCATGTTCATGCTCTCAAATAAATAAATAAATAAATAAATAACCTTTTAAAAAATAAAGGGGCGCCTGGGTGGCTCGGTCGGTTAAGGGTCTGCCTTCGGCTCAGGTCATGATCCCAGGGTCCTGGGATCGAGTCCCACATCGGGCTCCCTGCTCGGCGGGAAGCCTGCTTCTCCCACTGCCGCTCCCCCTGTTCGTGCTCTCTCTCAAATAAATAAATATCTTTAAAAAAATAAAAACACACACAAAGCTCTGGTATATAAAATACGCTTTTCTCCACCCTCTTTCCCTTTTCTGGCTCACTTATCTTCTTGGTACGTTGGAGCAGCACCCACAACAGCCAGACCATGTGTCCCCCTGCCTTTTGGTCCCTAGAGAGGGACCATCCATGGCAGGAATCCTGTGCTCCCAAGTTCTTTTTTGTTTTTTAATATATTTTTTAAAGATTTTTTTTTGACAGAGAGCACAAGCAGAGGGAGCGGCAGGCAGAGGGAGAGGGAGAAGCAGGCTCTCCACTGAACAGAGAGCCTGATGCAGGGCTCGATCCCAGGACCCAAGATCATGACCTGAGCCGAAGGCAGACGCCCAACGACTGAGCCACCCAGGCGCCCCCAAGTAAAAGTTTCAACAAACGCTTCTTCCCCCTTGATTGCAAATTTTTAGGCTGCTGAGGTGGCATAAGAGTCAAACATCAGGGCGCCTGGGTGGCTCAGTCGTTAAGTGTCTGCCTTCGGCTCAGGTCATGATCCCAGGGTCCTGGGATCGAGTCTCATGTCAGGCTCCCCACTCAGCGGGGAGTCTGCTTCTCCCTCTCCCTCTGCCTCTCCCCTGCTTGTGCTGTCAAATAAATAAGTAAGTAAGTAAGTAAATAAATAAATAAATAAAATCTTAAAGAAAAAAAGAGTCAAACATCAAAAAAGTCCCAGACTTGATACCCAGAGGAGTGTCCGAGGCTCCAGGCCTCTCTCAAGACCCTGTCCTTCAACCTGAGTCCTCTCACCTGCTATCACAACAGACTTGAATGTCCAGGGCGGTGACAGGATGGCCTCTGCTCTCAGCCTCTGACTGACATCCAGGAGAGACTGCCCAGGGCTCAGTCTACCAACAGGAAGCAGGCCCTCCCTGGATGGCCACCTCATTGGCTGGCTTCTGCACACTGAATAATCCTAAACCCCAGGATCAAAGGCTGGTCTATAACGGAGCAGGAAGCCCATTCTCCACTGAGCTCTGTGATCGCCAGGGAATTGCCGGGGGCGGGGGGGGGGGGGGCGGTTAGCAGGTCTGGAACATCTCAGGGGATCCTTGCCCTCGCAGATGGCCTGCACTCTTCCTCCCACGGTGGCTCGGGCCTGGAGCATCTCCCAGCCGGCACCTTGATGTGCTCTGGTGTCCACCCTCGGCCCCTTCACACAGCTTCTAGGAGCCCGGGGAGTGCACGCCTCACCTTGCGCTGGCATCGCAGGCTAGAGTCCAGACCCGCCGCTCAGCACGCAAGGGGCTCTCTCCCTGCCTAGGCTCTACCCGGCCTGAGGCAAACTGATCGTTTGCAGTTCGCCGCCCTCATCTCACTAGGCTCCATCTTCATTCGTTCGTTGGTTCGTTCGTTCCAGGCTCTGTCGTGTGTGGCGTGTCGCAGCGACTGCGCGCCCGGCGGCCTCCGCTAGGAGCAGCAGCGACCTGCGGCGCACGGGCACCAGCGCGGCGCGCAGCTGGTGTGGGTTCGGGTCGTGGGTCAGGGCCTGTGCCGTCGCAGCTGTTACACACTTTGCGCTGAGATCCACCACAGCAGGGAAAAGCAAAGCCGGAAGTCCCCTCGCCGTGCCACGGAGATGCCGTCGAGGGGCTGCTTCCGTCCCAGGACGTCGCGCGCGCCTCTCCCCTCGCGGCGCGGTCAAGGCCCGGCTCCCCGGTCTCACGGCTCCTGAAGCCAGGCTCCCCTCGTCCGCAAGGTGTGTGTCAGGTGTTCTCAACCGCCGGGCCGGGCGAGGCGCCGTGGGGGAGACGGGCCGAGCAGAGGGCCCGGCGGCCCAGGTTTTCAGCGCCAGGAGCTCGTCGGGAGTTGCGGCCCGTGCGCAGACCGGCGAGGCGCGCGGCGCGGAGAGGGGCCGGCTGCCCTAGAGGGTGACAGGGCCTTCCGGAGAGGACCCTCGGGGAGAGAGCCGGAGGAGAGGTGGGTGTGCGCAAGGCTGAGGGAAGGAGAGCGTCGGGGCTGAGGGAACAGAGGCGTGAAGACCCCGAGGCAGGACAAAGGCAAGGTTTTCCGGGAAAGGGGGCCGCCGTGGCCACGGAGGGAGGGAGGGAGTGGTGAGGGCGGCTGGGGCCTGGGCTTGTAGGGCCTGTCGTCCCAGTGGTGGGGTTTGGAGTGACGGGAGGCCGTCGACAGGCTTTCACGTGGGCAGTAACACAGGCAGGGGTGCGTGCATGTGTGGGCGTGCCTGCGCGCATGTGCGTTGCTCTGGCTACATCTGGAGAGTGAATGGCGGGAGACAGTAGTGGAAGCACATATTTCCCACCCCGCAGGCTAGTGTAGCAGTCCAGGTGAAAAAAGAGCCCCCAGGGACCGATACGCAGGTTGCTCACTGTTCAAGAGCATCTGGCCGAGGAGGGCTAGTCGGAACAAAAATAGAGCCCCACTCCACTCACCAAGCCAAGAGCCCTGGCACAGAGCTGAGTCTGGCCAAAGGAAAAGGTCACCTTTTTCTTATTTGCTCAAAGGGCATCACTGCCCACTGGGCTGTGCATCCAGTGGGCTGCATCTGTGTGAAAGGGGTACCTTGTTCTGTGTTCACTAAGGAGCCACGTGGGCTAGCAGAGGCCCTACAAGAGTAAGTGGTGGCTTGGACCAGAGTGAGGCGATCCAGATGGTGAGAACCAGCCCACCTGTAGGTGCGTTTTGGGGGCAGAAATGGCAGGAGTTTGTAATGACCCAAATGGGAATGAGGACGAGGAAGGGGTCAGAGATGAAAGCCACATTTCTGGCAAGAACCTCTGGAGGATGCAGGAGCGACAGACTTGGAGAGAAAGATCATGACTGCCCCTAGTGGTACCATCTTGTGGCCTTCTGGTTAGAAACCATAGGCTGGCAGCTAGGGCCCGGGCCCAGTGGATGGAGACTGATGACATTCCAGGTCTTTGGCACCCAACAAGGACACAAGGGGAGAGTTTAACATGAAATCTGAGGGGTGAGCCATGGGTATTTGCTCCATTGGTCTCATACATTTTAATATTTAAACATTTCAGTGTTAACCAAAAAAAAAAAAATGAACTAAGAATCAAAAGAGCTAAGAGCTCTCCTACCCAAGGCCTCATAAAATCCAAAGTACAATTGAGTTTTCCTAGCGAGTCTATTATTAACCAGTCAAAAACCTAATAGTCAAGCTGAAGGGCCAGAGGTCTGTGATCTGTCCCCATGCTCTCCTTCCCTGTATTCTCACTGGCTTCTGTGGTCTCCTCAAAACTCAGTGGTTTTGGTTTCCATTCAGGCTTTTCATCCTTCCCCAGAGCCATAAACAATGATAATGAGAATTTATTGACATGAAAAAAAAAAGTCAAAATACTGCTCCAAGAAATAAAAAACTATAAAACAGTAGGTTTTAACTCATTTTTGGAAAAATATAACCTGAAACTAATGTACAGACACAAGCATGCACAGAGAAAAGTCAGCAACCATACCAAATGCTGGCAGCAGCTGTCTCTGGATGGAGGACTTAATGGGTCATTCTCTGTGCAAAAGATGGAGCTTGGAGTGTGCTGAGGTTTCAGGCTCTTACCTTCAGATGGTGAAAAAGAGGCTTGGGAATCTACCTGGCTCTGCCTCAGCCGGATCTAAGAGTCTAAAGGTACCTATCACGAACTCCTAAAGGTAAGGCAGATGTGTTTATTCTGTTATTTCATGTTTTAATTAGCTACTATAGTGTGTACAGTTCACTGGCATTCAGCACACTCACTATGTTGTGCAACCACCACCTCTGCCTGGTTCCAAAGCGTGTTCACACTCCAAAAGGAATTCCCTGGCCCCTACGCAGTCACTCTCTCTTCCTCCTCTCACCAGACCCTGGCAACAACTAACCTGCTTTCTGGATGTTTCATTTAAATGGAATCATGTGATAGGCGAACTTCTATGTTCAGCTTCTTTCACTTTATTTTTAAGGCTCACCCATGTTGTAGCATGTATCAGTAGGTCGTGGCTTTTTATGGCTGCATAATAGTCCATGGTAGGGAGATCCCACTTTTGTTTATCCATTCACCCATTGAGGGACACTTGGGTTGTTTCCACATTTTGGCTGTTGTGAATTGTGCTGTTATGAACATTGGTGTACACGTTTTGGGTTGAGCACCTGTTTTCAGTTCTATTGGGTATAGACCTAGGAGTAGAATTTCTGGGTCGTATGGTGATTTTGAGGAACTGCCATACTGTTGTCCAAAGGGGCTGAGCTGTTCTACTTTCCCACCAGCAACGAGTCGTATTTTCTTTTCCTATCTGCCTCAGCACTACTGCCTGGTACATAAAGAGAAGTTGGATGCCTGGCACTGTGAGGAATCTCTTTTCCTAGGCTCTGCTTGATATTCATGCCAACCTAAGTACTAAGGTTGATATTAATGTGCCCATTTTACAAAAGAGAAACCAAGGCCAGAAAAGCTGAGCTCTCCTACCCAAGGCCTCATAGAATCACCATTATTCCAAAGGTTGTGGATTTGAGAGGAACGTGTCACTAAAACCCCACACTTACATTTATGAAAAATATTCCCTACTACACCAGCGCAGCCCAGAAATGGGCCAACGAGATGGACGGTTCATAAATGGCATTACATTTGGGAAGTCTCAGGGAGAAGAGAACATCAATTCGGCTTCATTTAACTTAAGTTCCCAGAAAAAATCTCCCCTAACCTCTCCTCGGGGCTCCCGGTAACCCAATGTCAGGCCAATTCCCTGAACTTCTACTGAGAACTCATCATTTAAAGGAGATGAGTGGACGAAAATCATGGTAAATCCTTTCAAGGGGAAAGAAGTAGGTGGATGGGTCATCCTTAGTAAGGTGTTCAGGAATCCTAGGACCATGATTTCAGCTCTGCAGAAATGTTCAGTAACCTTACAACTAATTGTCTGAGAAAGTGAGCCAGTATCAGGCCTTGACACTCAAATGAGGGTAACTCCTGCAGATTTTATGCAGATGATCCAAGGGGCTAATTCTGAAGGTGTGGGTGGGTAGAGGGGGACCAAGAACCGGGTGTGTTATTGCCCGGAGGCCTGAAGCAAGGTGGGAGGGAGAGGTGACAGGAACCTGACCCAGGAGTTGAAAGGTTCAGGGACAAAGCCAGACCACATGACCTTGCAGGGAGGGGTCAGGAGAATAAATATGCTGGCCTCACACTCTTTTCCCCTCTCCAGTCTACTGTGGGCCTCCCACTGGCCAAACCCAAGCAGAAGCCAAGGAGGAGTCCTCTTGCTGCCATACAGGTCAGTCTCCCGGAACGGGGTCAGGGGGAGGGTGTGGGGATGGGGAGGTGGTAAAGAGCGATCTGGAGGTGAACACGGGAGGTCAGTGGCACAAAGGACTATGAAAACATCAATAACAGGCAAATTTGATGAATACAGACTGCTCATTCTGAGACCAAGCAAACTAGGTTATGCTTTCCTCGATACTGTGATGTGAGCGCAGGGTGGCTGCTGTCAGCAAACCAGGAGCAGGGAAGCGGCTGCAGTGGGGAGAGCAGAATGGCACCTTTCTGCTCTGAAAAGGCTCTAATGAGTTCAACTTCTCATCCCCAAGAATTGTACTTCAGAGAATCTATCCCAAAGAAGGAGAAACATGTACAAAGATTTATTTGCAGAAGTGAAACATTGAAAGCAGTATAAGTGTGTAAAAATAGGAGACTAAGTAGGTATGTGACAAGTCAGCGTCAATACAAAGAATGTGAGTGACGGCATGGGAGGGGCAGAGCAATGGAGGTGTTCAGAGCACGGAGCCTGGGGTTACTCAGCTCAGACTGTTAGTCCGGGGCAGCTGAAACACTCTGTCAGGGGAAGAGATGCCTTTGTAATGGAGACGTCTGGGGGAGGCACCACCTTAACCAAGGGATCAAACTTTGTATCACCAATGATGGGGTCAACGGACACATGCCTCCTTATGACATGCAATGGCAAGGACACATTTACCTACTGTTACTCCCAAAAATATTTAAGCTGACTTAAATCATGAACAAATCCAGACAGTGTGGAATTCTGAAAGATACCTAGGGTGCTCTTCAAAAAATGTTAACATCATTCTTAAGAGGTTTGCTTTAGATGAAAGGAGATGAGATATGACAACTAAACACTGTAGGCTGAAGTGCCAGGTCTACAACTTACTTTCGAATCATTCAGCAAGTGTATGTTTGCATGTGTGTATGTACACACCTGAGCGCAGATAGGAGAGCAGGAGGCAAGAGCAAACAAATGTAGCAAAATGTTAAGAATAGTGAATTCCCATGAAAGGTACATGGACTTTTATTGTATTATTGTTAATTGTTCTGTAGGTTTGAAACTCTCTGAAATAGACTTCAGAGACCAGATCTGTTTCCTTGCTGGTAAAAATCTCTTGGGATTGTAGTAAGCACTAAATGAATTAGTGCATATAAAATGCTAAGCACACTGCACACAAGAAACGTTAGCGATGTCTGTATGTGCTTTGTTATTTATGATCATGATAGAAATCACTAAGTATTTCCACCTCCCTGCTTTCCACCATGTGGCAGGATCACATTTCTCTGTCCCTTGTGAGGTTGGCAAGGCCACGTGACTGGCTTTGGACAGTGAAACATGAGATAAGTAGACCAGGTTTGAGTCACTGTCTTGTGTGTTTACTGCTTCACACCAGCTGCGCAGACCAGCACGACACAGACTTTTGTCGTGTGAAGCCAGTGAGCTTTAGGGACTGTAATTGAAGCCTAACCTAAACCAGAAGTCCACAAAGAATGGACCTCAGGTCGAATCCTGCCCACCATTTTTGTCAATTGAGTTTCACTGAAACACGGCCATACTCATCATTATGGCCTGTGGGTACTATGATAGCAAGAGTTGAGTAGGTGCAACAGAGACCTTATGGCCTGCAAAGCTGAAAATATTTACTATCTGGCCCTTCACAGAAGTTTGCAACCCTTGACCAATCAAAACAGAAGATAAGTGAAAAAGAAAACCCAAACCATTTATAAAACATGACTTTATACTAGCTGTATGACCTTGAGCAAGTTACTTATTATTTGTATAATCTTTTAGTTGCCTTGTGTGTAAAATGGTGGTCATACTAGAATTTACCTCCTCATGAATGAATTCCTGTATGTAAAACCCTTGGAACCAGGAGGCTTGGAAGAGAAATGCCAGAGTAGCCAGAAGTAAGGGCAGGGATATGAGCTGATGAATATAAAATCACTAAGGCAAGAACCTAGTAAACACCCAATTATTCCAATTACATAAAGATGAAATATATTTGAAGAGAAACAGAAGACTAGAAGACAAGAACACATAATAGCAACAGTGGCTATCTTTTAAAATATTAAGAGAGACTAGTAGTGGCTTTTTTTTCTTTGTTGTACCATTCTGTGTTTTCTACGATTGAACATATTATAATCAAGGAAGAAAAATCCATGTTTTTTTATAAATGCTGAAAATTTTTAATACTTCTGTCATTTCACAAAACATCTTTTGTTGACATTCTACAAATGATACCATCCAATAATGTTCCAATACTTTCTTCTTGTGAAGACAGTTTATATATCTGTAAACATAGAAGACAAATTATGGCATGCTGATATATTCATGCACTACTCATTTTAATCATACAAACATGTATTAAGTGAAATTATCATTCAACTACTGGGATAATGGTATGAAATTACAAATGTGATTAAAATATGCAAAGTAGATGGCAACTCATTGCTTACGTAAAAAAAAAAGTTCCCTTTAAATTGCAGTTATGGTGATAACCCTCTAAACACAGAAACCAAATCTGTACCAATTTTAAAAGCATACATCTAGACATTAAAGATCAAGCTTACACAGGGGCACCTGTGTGGCTCAGTCAGTTAAGCATCTGCCTTCAGCTCAGGTCATGATCCCAGGCTCCTGGCATCAGGCTCCCTGCTCAGCGGGGAGTCTGCTTCTCCCTCTGCGCACCGCCCCCCCCCGCCCCGCCATGCTCGCTCTCTTGCTCTGCGTGCTCTCAAATAAGTAAAATCTTCAAAAAAAAAAAAAAATCAAGCTTACACTGCATTTGAAATGTAAAATATAGAATGTATTTAGAGAATGCTTTTACCACCAAATTTCTAACTATTTTATATAAACCTGCACCTTCTAATTCTTAGCTTCTATAATTACTTTCAAGTAATTTTAATTACATTAAACGTTCTTAAAAGTTCAAAAAAAAAACAAAACCAGAAGCATTGGTGATCAATAAACAAACAGCATCAGTATTATTCTTCATCACACTCTTTCTAAAAATACAGACTTACAAACCTTTTTGACTTCTGTAATATTTGTTATGTCAGGAAGGTTTTGTAGAGAAACTTGCTGACCTTCAACCTGAGATATTAGGTCTTCTTTATTTATTTGTTTTTCTCCCTCTTCAATGTAAACAATAAGAACTGAAGTGTCATTTGCCGAGGTACCAAATTTTTTCAAAGTTTCTGAAATCTAAGGGAAAAAAAAGTAAAGACAATAAACCAGTAGTTTCTATGTCTATCCCCATCAGCCTCCTTCTCTGGCTGGGTTATTTTACATTTCCTAATGGTTCTCTCCACCTAGTGTTTCTCTTCAACAGCCCTTCCTAACACCCTCCAGCTCTGCCTCTGGAGCACTCTGCTCACAGCTGCACCTCCTTACTGCACAGTCAAGCCCATTCTTGGCGTGGCACACAAACACCCCCTCCTTCTGATCCCCACGGGCCCTCCAGCCATGCACGCCTACCTTCTAGCCAGCCTGGACTGTGTGGGGGGTCCCATCATTTCACAGTTTGTCCCCTCATCCTCTGCCTGGAGTGCCCTCATCTGTCACTGCCCTACACATGGCATTCCCCGCTGCACCCTCCTCCTTACAGGAGTTGCTTCCTTGCTGTTCCCGTAGGTTTGAATGATTATTCCCACTATATCATTTATCTTAGAGCAGTTGGATTTCTGTCATTTCCCTGCCTTCCTCAGGAGTGTATTTGTTTCTCCTGCCCTGGAACTGTAGCCAAAAGAGGAACCAGCCCAACAGATGCTTACTGAGTTGAATAGTTTCTCAAGTTATTTCAAATGATCTCAAAGAAATAATTATCTGGTAACTTTTTCTCTAGGTACCAAGGAATTCTATTATCCTGCATTTTATAAACTTTATAAAATTTCAAACGTTATTGTAAATCATGCTACAATTTCCCAATTATCCTCTAGATGATACTAGTACCTGGTTGTGTTATTAACAGTAGTGGTGATACTCAAACTTCATCGGCAAAATTTCAGTTGTTTTTTTTTTATGTGCCACAGATGGAATGTCTTTAGCTCAGTAACTTTGATTACTACCAGTATCTCAAACCCAAACTTCCTCACACCCGGGGGTGTGAGTGAGTCAGTGTTAAGGGCTGTTCCAGGTAACCGGCAGGCTTCTAGATATGGAAAAGACATGGATTCTATCCTCAAGGAGATCGGGAGAGTAGATATGCATGGTAACACACAAATATCCATGCTTAGTGTTTTACCATTTAAATGTATATATCATGTAGAGGGATCTTCCTGCTATTATATGGTAAGGACAGATAAAACTATCCTCATTTCATGTAGCTAAACTTTTGTTTACTCATATGTGAAATGACTGCTAAGCTTATTTGTCTAGTAAGAGGCAGTGCTAAACCTCAACTCTGTCCACAACTCTCTTATTATTTTGCTTTGTTAAATACAACAGGCATACAGGAATTTAGCCTCCAATCCAACACTAGGGAACACAAGGTGTATCATGACAAGGTCAACAGAAATAAAGTTAAGTGAAATCCCTATTAATTACACTGTTATTTGGGGAAAGGTTGAAAATAATTTCAGTTGATAGAGTTCTTGTCTTCATTTTTCCCAGTTTGTAGAGATGAACTGCTTTGTTTGCTGCCACAAGTATCTGAAATGGATCGACAATCTACCAAAAAGAACAGAAAGAATTAACACGCGGAGCATCTAGAGATGCATGCCTTTTCTCTTGGGAACTCCAATGTCAGGCTGTTTTACTTCATCACAACTTCTATGGACTATGTTTTCAAAATTGCTGGGTGCTCAGAAAATCATAGAATTTTAAAGCTGCAAGAAACTTAAATAGTAAACATTTTTAAAGTAACATTTGAGAATATCACAGGAAAAGCTATATTCTAAACATTTTACGTGTATTATTTTAATCCTTAAAACTACCCTATGAAATCAGTTTTGTTCATATGCAGTGGATGAGGAAACCAAAGCAAAGAATGTCTGGATTTGAATCCCAGCTCTGTCACTTACCACTGAGGGGATTTGGGCAAATTCCTTAGGTTTATCTGTTAGATGCAGATAATCATAGTAGTTACTTCATAGGGTTGTTGTGAAGATTGAGTTGGTATATGGAAAGGAACAGAGTAAGCACTCTCTAAAGGTTGTCCACCACTTGCTCGAAGTCCTAATGGCAGAGCTGGGATTAAATCCTACGGCCATGGTTCCATGGTGTGTGCTCTTAACCACTATGCACACCTCCTGTGCAGAGATTTTTTTTCCCCAACTAACAGCTTTTTAAAATTTTTTACTTATTTTTAAAATTCTTTCTTTAAATTCAGTTTACATATAGTGTATTATTAGTTTCAGGGGTAGACTTTAGTGATTCATCACTTGCATATAACACCCAGTGCTCATTTCATCAAATGCCCTCAATGCCCATTACCCAGTTACCCCATTTCTCCCACCCACCTCCCCTCCTGCAACCCTGTTTGTTTCCTAGAGTTCAGCCTCTCTTATGGTTTGCCTCCCTATTTTCATTTTTTATTTTTCCTTCCCTTCCCCTATATTCATGTTTTGTTTCTTAAATTCTACATGAGTAAAATCATATGGTATGTCTTTCTCTGACAGAATTCTTTCGCTTAGCATAATACCCTCTGGTTCCACCCACGTCGCTGCAAATGGCAAGATTTCTTTTTTTTTTTGATCGCTGAGTAGTATTCCATTGTGTATATATATACATATCTTCTTTTTATTTATTTATTTATTTGACAGAGAGAGAGATAGCAAGAGCAGGAACACAAGCAGGGGGAGTGGGAGAGGGAGAAGCAGGCTTCCCGCCGAGCAGGGAGCCAGATGTGGGACTCGATCCCAGGACCCTGGGATCATGACCTGAGCCGAAGGCAGACGCTTAACGACTGAGCTACCCAGGCACCCTATACACATCTTTATCTGTTGATGGACATATGGGCTCTTTCCATATTTGGGCTATTGTGGACATTGCTGCTATAAACATTGGGGTGCATGTGCCTCTTTGAATCCTGTGCAGAGATTTTTCTAGTTCAGATGAGAAGATGAAGATCCAGGCATTTGCCATTATGTCAGAACCAGACCACAACCTTTCTTATCTCCTGGGGAAGTTCCCAGCACTTCGGCTTCTATTCACTGTAAAATTCAAGGTTGGCCCAGTCTGACTCCACAGCTTGGACAAGAACTCTTTACCCAAAGATGACAATTTTAGGCTAACCTATAACATCATGAAAAATTAATATACTCTTCAATGTCCCGTTATAGCTTATCTGTTCTCACTTATACTTACCACCTTAGGGTTTATTAATGAACCCTCAATAGCACCTTCCATGGCCTTTTTTCTCAAGTCTCCAGCATTTTTTACATCTTTAAATAACAGAAGGGTCACCCTGCATTCGGGAAATAGGTCCAGCTGATGTGTTAACTGCATTTCATAGACAAGCAGGATTCTATTTGCATAAAACCAGAAAGACCAAAAGACTTCATTTATTTAAAAGTTAACATTATAATTCACTAAAAAATATCCTTAACAAATAAATTAAAATAATTTTAATAATAAGATGACAGAACTGTTAAACTAGAAGAATCCATCCCAAAAGCACATTTGGCATCCTCATGAGATGTCTTCCCACCCCCGCTGAGTTGTTTCTAGCTTCCTTTATCATTCCTCAGAAAGGATCAAGGTTGCTGCCTGGTTCCAGGATCTGATGCATGGCTCAGGGGAAGCTTCTCTAACCAACAAGTAGGAGTAGAATGTCAGGAATTTGTTAGACCAGAGGTTACTTATGGTATTAGTGAAACCTCACTCCAACTTAGCCTTTTTAGCATTCTGGGCTTACTATTTTATGTATATTTTAGCAGATCCTAGACACAAATATTAAGAAAATAATTTTACTGAAGAAAGTATGACACTTGACTCATAAAAGATACTCATTTCACACATGACATTTAAGCAGAAAGGGTTCAATTACTAAAAAATCAATACTGACCCTTTCTTAGACATAAGTTTAATAAGGAAAACACAAAGACATAAAAGAAACATAAAAGACAAGAACTTGACTAACTAGAAAGACAACCATATCCTTGAATTGAAAAACAAAGTATTGCAAAAATTTGATATTTAAAACAATTTCAATCAAAGTCTTAGATATTTGGGTGCGGCAATTCGATAAATTCATTTTATCCTTTTACATGGTAGGTTCCATTTGTAGGACTCTTTACAAGGAATAAATTAAAAACCTATAAATTTATGTACATTAGATGTCCTCATCATTCTAATAGCAAAAAGTTGAAAACAAATTATCTAGCTAATAACGAACGGGATTTGTGACTAAATAACCATTAAAAACTGTGGTCCTGAAGAGCAGTTAAGGATGTGTGAAAATAGCAATAACAATGAGTAAAAACATCTGACTGAAAAACAAAACATAAAACGTAGCATAAACAGTGGGCTTCTCAAAAAAGTGCATAAAAAATACTGAAAGGAAAATACACCAGAAAGTTATCTCTGACTTGGTGGAATTACATCTGACTTTTTGTTAGGAAAAAACAGTATGTGTGAATAATGTCCTGACACACCGCAGTTCAATCTTTATTGTCATGGTAATGTCCAATGGGGGGGGGGGGAAGATACAGGAAAACCTAACGAATATATTCCCAATTACACAAAAAAGATACACACAGAAAACAAAAACATGAAACATACCAAAATACGGCCATCTCGGGTGGTAGGATTATTGGTAATTTTTATTGTCTTCTATTAAAAAAAATGTACGTTCTGAATTTTCTACAGTGAGCACACAAGATTCCTATTTTATACATATAATAATATGTATAAAATAATAATATGTATAAAATAATTTTATACATATAATCAGCAAGGAAAAAACCTCTTCGCTGTTTATGTTTTCACACTAGGGGAAAAAGGACCCCTGGCAAAAGTCAAAATGTAATTCCCTCACTTAGGCCAGAAACTTAGAATCATCGCTGGACACCTACCTCTTAGGTATCACTCTGACCCTTCCACTTCTCGCCCATACCCACCGCCCCCAGCAACCTCGCTCGCTCAACTACAGCTGTGGCCTCCCAGGGACGGTCGCCTCGCAGTTCCTGCCCTCCCATCACCCAACCTCCACCCGGCAAGATGAGCGATCCTCTCAAAAGTAAGCCACAGCCGGTCCTTCCGCTGCTCGCGTGCTAAAGCCCCCAGCCCCTCCAATCGGGGCCGTCTCTCCCTCCTCCGCTCGCAGGCGCGTCGGGCCCGCGCTCTTTCCGCCACCGCCGCAGCGGCCTCCCCGGTTTCTGGTCCCCGGGCTCTCGCCCCCGCTCTGCCCTCCGACAGGCAGAACCCCGACTCCTTCCTCCCTCCCTTCAACTCGCCGTTAAGAGTCCATTTACCAGGGCCGGTCCAAGTCCCTCTAAGACGCGCTCCTCGGCCCTTCCACGACGCCAGGGAGCCAGCGCCTGGCCCTGCCGTGCTGCGTGCCCGGAGCTCGGGCCCCGCCCCCAGCCCTCTCCGCCCGGCCCCGGGAGGACCCACGCGCGCGCGCTCCCGGTCCGCCGGAAGACCTTCCCCTCGGAAACAAAGCCCTCACTTTCCGGAAGCCGGGCCGTAGCCGCGTCCGCCCCTCCCCACACGCTTCTTCCCTAGCCTGAGCCGTCAGCGGACGCGAAGGAGAGCCGGGGCCCCGTCCGTCACTTCCGGCTACCGGGGCGGTAAGAACATGGGGAGTGGACGCCGAGTTCTCAGTGCCGGGTCTCAGCCTTGTCTCCGACGCGTGTTGGGCGAGACGTCGGTTTCTTCCAGAGCAAAGAACAGTGTTGGCCAGGATGAGCTCCACCTTCGTTTCCGCTACAGTTCTTTGCGGGCCAGGCGGGACTCGTTCCCTTCTTGCTCTCGGTGCGGTCGGTCATTTAGGGAGGATCTCCTGGAATGGACCGCGACTTGTCTCCGGTACTTAAAGATAGGTGACAGGACACTGATGAAATCAACCTCTTCCTGCATCTGGCAGGCTCAGAAATTTCTCATCCCTAAGTGTATCAGCTTCCAAGAGAGGAGGTTGGATTTCATCTTGGGCAGTACTTTTCTTTATACAGGTAAATTTACACAGTTAAATAACAGATATAGCTGTCGGGTGGATATGTGCTATGGAGAAAAAAAGCAAGGAAAAGGGAGGAATGCCTGGCCGTGGGTATTACTATTTCAAATAGGATGGTTAAGATCTCACCAGAGAGGGCCCTTATAACAGTGACTGGAGGAGGTCTGAAAGCAAGCTGTGTGATCTGGGAGAAGAGCATTCCAGGCAACAAAGAGTTCAAAGGCTCTGAGACACATATGGCCTTTCCTAGGCCTTCCCCTATTTAAGGGATAGCAAAGAGTACCGTGGGCTTGAACACAGTGGGAATATATATGTGGAAAAGATATTCTGACCAAAGATTGGTATCCAGACTATATAAAGAATGCCTATAACTCGATAAGAGAAAACAACCTAATTATGAATGGGTGACATATTTGAACACTTTACAAAAGATACATGAATCAGGCTAATAAACACATAAGACGCTTAACATCATAGCAGAGTAATGCAAATTTAAAACATAATGAGCTACTACTACACACCCACATAACTAAAATTTTAAAAACTGATAGTGTAAGTGTTGTCAAACACAACTGGTATTGCTGGTTTGAGTTTTATAAAATAGTATAACCACTTTAGAAAAGAGTGGCAGTTTCTTAATAAATCAAATGTGTATTTACTCAGCAATTTCATTCCTTGGCATTTACCAGGAGAAACGAAAACATGTACATACAAAGGCCTGTACATGAATGTTCACAGCAACTTTACTCTTAATACAAAAGACTGGAAACAACCCAATGCCCAACAACATGTCAATGGATAAACAAATTGTGGTAAATTCATACAACGAAATACTACTCAGAAACAAAAAGGAATGAATTACTGGTACTTGACAATACTTGCAACATGGATGAATCTAAAAAACATGCTCAGCAAAAAAAAAGTGAGAGACTAGAATTTAATATATTACCATATGATCCCTTTTCTACAAAACTCTAGGAATTACAAATTTATTTTAGAGTGACTGGAAAGCAAAAGAGTGATTGCTGGGAATGGAGGAGTGGGAGACAAGGACTGGAAAGGACCCCAAGGGAATCTTTGCTGTGAAGCCAATGTTCTAGATCTTGATGTGGTGTTAGTTACATAGGGAGTAGGACTTTGTCAAAATTCTTCATACTATGCACTATAAAAGTATATCTTATAGACTATAAATTATGCCTCAAAGTTGATTAAAAAGAGACATTAATAAAAAGCAGCTCAGTTTTTAGCAGCTTATTTGTAACCACCCAAAGCTGGAAACAACCATAATGTTCAAGTGAATGGATAAGCAAATCATATATCCATACAATGGACAACTTGGCAATAAAAAGGAACCCACTATTGTGACATAGAGTAACATGGATGAATCTCAAAATAATCACACTGAATAAAAGAAGCCAGACGTAAAACTAGTACATACTGTATGATTCCACTAACATTAAGACTGCAGTCACACATGGGCGCCTGGGTGGCTCAGTTGGTTAAGCGACTGCCTTCGGCTCAGGTCATGATCCTGGAGTCCCTGGATCGAGTCCCGCATTGGGCTCCCTGCTCGGCAGGGAGCCTGTTTCTCCCTCTGACCCTCCCCCGTCTCGTGTGCTCTCTCTCTCTCATTCTCTCTGTCTCTAAATAAATAAATAAAATCTTAAAAAAAAAAAAAAAACTGCAGCCACACAAAGCAGATCAGTGGTTGCTTAGGTAAGGCGCCTTGGGTGGAAAAAGGGAATTAAAAAACAACACAAGGAAACCTTGGGGGTAATAGATACTTCTGTCTTCATTGTGGCAATGGTTTCATGATTGTATACATGTCAAAAGTATCAAATTGTACATTTAAAAACATACAGTATATCATGTCAATTATATCTCAAACTTTTATTTATTTTTTGGAGAGGAAGGTGGGGAGGGGCAGGAGAAGGAGAGAGGATCTTAAGCAGGCTGCATACCCAGCATGGAGCCTGACACAGGGCTTGATTTCACGACCCTGAGACCATGACCTGAACCGAAATCAAGAGTCAGATGCTTAACTGACTGAGCTATGAGGGCGCCCCCTCAAACTTTTAAAAATCACAATGTGACAATACATCTATATTAGAATAGGTACAATAAAAAAAATTGACAATACTAAGTGCTAGTAAGGATGTGAGCGATTGGAACTCCTATCCCCTGTTGATGGGGATGTAAACTAGTACAGCCATTTTGGAAACATTTGGCAGTTTTTTTTTTTTTTCTTAAGATTTGATTTATTTATTTGAGAGAGTGAGAGAGAGCACATGAGAGGGGGGAGGGTCAGAGGGAGAAGCAGACTCCCTGCCGAGCAGCGACCCCGATGCGGGACTCGATCCCGGGACTTCAGGATCATGACCCGAGCCAAAGGCAGTCGCCTAACCAACTGAGCCACCCAGGCGCCCCATTTGGCAGTTTCTTATAAAATTATCTAACAATTACCTCATAGCAATCTCAGTCCAAGGGAAATGAACACATATATTCACACAAAAACCTGTATACAAATGTTTATAGCAACTTTGTTCAAAAGTCAAAAATTGGAAGTCTGTCAACTGGTAGATGGATAAACTGATCTATCCATACAATAGAATACTAACTCAGCAACAAAAAGGGAATTGACTATTGATCCCCCTCATGGATGCATCTCAAAAGCATTATGCTAAATAAAAGAAATCACAGCCAAAAGGCTATATACTGTATGATTAAACTCACATGACATTCTAAAAAAGGCAAAAATAGAGACCAAAAACCAAGAAGAAACAATGAATCATGGAACACTACATCAAAAACTAATGATGATGGTGATTAACATAACATAATAAAATTTTTTTAAAAAGCCATCTCAGGGATGCCTGGGTGGCTCAGTCATTAAGCATCTGTCTGCGGCTCAGGTCATGATCCCAGCGTCCTGGGATCGAGCCCCATGTCTCTGCTCAGCAGAGAGCCTGCTTCTCTCTCTCCCTCTGCCTACCACTCTGCCTGCTTGTGTGCTCGCTCTTTGTCAAATAAATAAATACGGTCTTTAAGTCCTTTACTACAGTTGCAGAGGAAGAGATCACTGCATCATAAAATTAGTTTGTAAGAGTTAAATGAGAATTTTCACAAGAATATTAACCTTGTTCTCTGCAATATATTAACTTGCATAAATATGCGTTAACTGTTACCATCTGATAAAGTGAGTTTAACCTTGGAAGTGTTAACCTGAAGAAATGGGTCATGGAAGACACCAAGACTCCAAAAACTATTCCCAAGTCATGTGAAATAACCCCCAGAATAAATGCCTACCTACAAGTCTACAGCCTGGTAAATTGTTACCTTGAATATAATTGACATTTCTGTATTCCTAAAGGTATAAACATTGTAGGATCTCAATGTCAGATCAGGAAGACCTCTGGTGCTTCCCACTCTCCTATACATGGTTGAACAATTAAAAACCTACAACTGCCAATTTATTAACAAATGCTTAAGTATCTTACCTAGGTCCTCTGGAAAGCAGAGCCTGAGGCAAGGATTAAAGTACTAGTGTTTTATTTGGGAAATGTGCAAACAGACTGGTGAGGGTGAGGAAAAAAGGGAAGTGAAGCAAGAAGAGCTGCAAAGCAATGTGAGGTAATGGATTACCTCATAGGCAGGGTTGACAATGAGCCAGGAAGACACAGGGATCGTTTGGCACATGTTTGCTCAGTGGGCTAAACTTTCTCTGGAAGGCTTGAAAGGACAAACCTTTCCTGACAGTCCTCCACAGAAGGGAGCAAGGAGGGGGAGAATTTTACTGCCAGGCTCCTTCCTATCCTATGTTTCATTAATTAAGCCTCCCCAAAGTGGGAGCTTACTCCTCCACATTTCTGATCATCCCCTCATTGGCAGCTCAGAAAGCCTGATCCTGTGGCTGGCTGGCTGGCAGTAGAGCATCTCCTCCAACTCCAAAGTGGAGAAATGACAGAAGAGAGAGGGCTTGGTGTGGAGGCTGTAAGGGCCTTGTTTAACCTGGGCTCTAGTAAGCTCAGGGAATGCAGTAAGGCTTGCTGGCAAGGCAGAAAACG